TACGCCAGGATAAGAATCGTATACGACTAGTCGTATCGTGTAGATGGGCCTACAGAGTCCCAAGTTTTTTCTTTCTACTATGGAGCAAATCCCTGCTTGCAACAACTTTACGACTAACAGGTTGAAATGGCCATGGTCTTCTTTTAGGGTTTAATATAATAACATTATGGTCTGATAAACCAAAAGGTGGACAACTTTCGACAGATTTCTTTTCATACAATGAGTTAGTAGCTAGTATTAAATCAAGGGTCTGATTTGCTCTTGTCGGAACATGTCTCATCTGCTTCGATCTGAACTGTGTCAGGAGACGATTAATTTAGTATTCAAATCAGCAGTTATTGCATGTTATATCACAATAAGGATATGTGCTATCTATCGTGGTGACAGTTGCAGATTCATTACCTGATAATCACACCTAGTACCAATTAAACATATGGTAGTTCGCTTAATGCTGTTCGAAGAATGGGGCCATTAGTGCTTTAAAGAATAACTTAGCCTCCATTGACAAGACAACAGTAAATTATTTCATCAATGATTTAATAAATAATGGTAATTGCACTGAGTGGAGTGCAACTTGGTCTGAAATAAAACACGTGATTACAAAATCGCACGGCCGCGAAGCGGGAGTGCGATTTGTAATCACAAGTTTCAGTTCAGACCAAAATTGCACGGAAGGAAGTGCAATTTCCACTTTATTATATTCATTTTGAAATCTTAATTTTTTTAAATTAAGATTTCAAAATGAATATAATAAATCATGTTTCGCTCGCTACTCTGGTTTAAATAAATGATTACAAAGCCCAGTCGAATTGTAATCATAAATTATAGTTGCCTATATAGGCCTTTGCGCTGATTTTAATCTGTGACATGCAGAGATCATGCGTATTAGGTTGAATGGCGTTCTTGTCGTATATATAATCTATGTGTCCCACATACATCATCTCATTGTTGGTTGTATAAATACTTTTCGGATGAAAAGCTCACTATCAGCTACACTGCGCTGACGAGCCCCAAAAGGGCGAAACAGCTGTCCGCAGTTGCTGGTAGTGAGCTTGGGGCACAATTGCCTATAGGCCTTTGCGCTGATTTAAATCTGTGACATGCAGAGATCATGCGTATTAGGTTGAATGGCGTTCTTGTCGTATATATAATTTATGTGTCCCGCATCCATCATCTCATTGTTGGTTTTTATATATATATATATATATATATATATATATATATATATATATATATATATATATATATATATATATATATATATATATATATATATATATATAAAAGTGACAAAGTAGGTCACATCTCGAATACGCATGCATATAATATTTTGTGTGTCCCACATACGCATCCTACTTTGTCGTCCTATATATATATATATATATATATATATATATATATATATATATATATATATATATATATATATATATATATATATATATATATATATATATATATATATATATATATTATATATATATGACCATTTTAGGCTGGTTTTTGGTCTAATAAATGCCAAAATGTATATAAAGTTTACACTCGATAATTTTCATCTACAAAACCCATCAAGTATTATGCATTCAAGTGAGATACCAACTTCGGCCCAGCGAAGATATGTATACGCTTAAAAATAGCGATAAACTACGCCCCGGGTTTAAGACGGGAACGGTGCTTTCCGCTATTGGCTCGGGGAACTACATACACGAAAACAGCTTATTTTACCAAACTTCTTGAGTCGTGTCTCTTCTTCTTCTACGCTGTTCCATAGTAATCTCACGCTCCTTGTAATCAAACCTCCAGTTAAATGTTCCTCGCACATATGACCCCATTTCACGATAGGCGAACGTGTTATGGTCGATCGAATCAATGATGGGGCATGTGACGACATGTTCGTTTAACGTGATTGGTTCAAGTAGAGGCGGTAACCAGCCCTGATTAACTTCGCAGTGAGAATCCAAAACAATAACAACATCTCCTCGAACATTTAAAGCACCAAGCATACGTGCTCGAATTAAACCCAAGCGTTCTTTTGATCTTATCAATCGCACTTTTCGCAGATTTCTGACATGTAAATCTAAACGAGATTTTAAATGATCTAGAAAAAAGAAAAAAACCTCCATGATTACAACTGATTTATAAAATAACTAAATATATAGATGTATACATTGTGTTCTTTTTTAAGGCCATGTCACACAATGCAATTTATGCCGCAACAAGCACGCAATTTCGGACACAGAGCGATGTTATTTTATTTTAATTAAGTTGTACTAACAGTGTTAATCAGTGAGCATTGACTGCTCCTCACTCTTCTGAAATTTTTCATTCTCGTTCATTTCTTTCTTGCCTACCCACAATCAGGGGTCATCATAAAACCACCCATTTTTCAACATGGGTAGTTCTAAATGTAAAATGGGCAGTTCTAGAACTCAAAATGTGTATAGTTCTAACAATTAGTTATAAATTAAGGACGCATACAGATATAAGTTGGACATGAAAATTAGTTGCCCTGAATAAAATTCACTTGCATCAGACATGCAATGGCCACTGGGGTACCTAGGTAGAGGGTATAAATTAAGGGACAACATGTCGACCCGTTCTCCCACTGATGCTCTGTATATGGCTATGTTATACTGCCTCAGATCTAGCTTTGCCTCACAAAAACAAAATTTGAATCAAGTACCATGCAATATAAAAAATTTATCCGACAATGAAAACATGAACTTAAAGATGCCCAGCTTTTTGTGGCAAGGCAACTTGCCCAATCGGACAAGCAAGATAAAACGTTTACTTGCCCGTCATGGTATTCACTTTCCGCGAGCAAGCGTTACGTAACACCTCTGAAAACGCAGGAAATGGCCATTTTGGACATCAAATTTCAACACTTTCCGGAGGAGCATGCCCCAGGACCCTCTAAGCTATACTAGGTATCCAGTACACGAGGTCACGACCTCGTCTCTTGTTACTGCCACACAGTTAGCCCGTGTTCATTACCTCACAGCCTGTTTTTGTCGAGACCGGCAGTTCTAAATTTTTGGACTAGAAATTGGTCGCCAATCCCTGCTAATTTTGAGTCCGATGATCGTCATGAAATTTGACACGATGATTTTAAACGATATTCCTCATCGACTGATGGTGTCCGATTTTTTATTTTCGATTTAGGGGTAACGTTCAAACAATTCTTTCCAGTAGACGTAGAATATCAATAATAATATGCACATTATTAATATTCACAGACAAACCCCAACCATAACAAAAACAGTCATGGAGCTGCGATTAACATTGATTAAATTGTTAATTAACAATTTCGCTCCGTCACACGATTAGTCGGAGTTTGGAGGGTTGTAGTACCGTTGAAGAGGTAATCCGATGGAGGCCATAACCGTGAGTCGATCGCAGTATTTCATGGCCACGCATGCACTTGGATATTGACGAATTACCTAACCGAGTTACTATAGTACTTTAGTACGTCTCTAACATGTTCTCTCATCGCCAAAATAACAATTACGAAATGTGGAGTAACATGCGCAAGCTTGTGTTAGGTAAGCCTAAAACTAATTTTGTGAAAAGATCCTTTTCATACCGAGGAGCTTGTGCCTGAAAAAATTTACCCATTGACATCGTCAACGGGTATGACCCATTGACATCGTCAACGGGTATGAGCAACTATCAACAATTCATTTTAAAATTTTATTTAATTGTTTTTCTATAGATTAAATGACTGTTGATAATGCTCACAAGCATTGCAACATGACTTATTAATATTGTTTTATTTAACATGACTTATTTGTGTAAATATCTATTTATCGCTTCCCTGCATATATTAAACCACCATCGGCAAACTGTTTGTCAGGTTGAGCTCGGTTTTCTGTGCTGCCGAATACTACGAGACCAGTCAAAGCCTTTATGGCATAATTATGGCTTATGTGCCCGGTTGTTGGCACATA